AGCCTCTGCGGGGAGGGCAGGGTCACGGGCAGCGCCACGGGCCAAGCCGGGTACTGGGCCCTGCCCAGGATGCAGCTGCCTCTGGGGTGGGGCAGCAGCTGCTTCAGCCCTGCACAGCCTGAGCTGGGGGGCTGTGTCCAGAGCTAGGCCAATGCCCAGCTCCCACAGGGGCCCTGGAGAGTCCCCCCACCCCCCGCCAGACAGCCCCGCCCACAGGGAGCCCCGCCCCCTCCAGGCGCCCAGCAGCCAGTTACCTGCAGCGAGAAGGAGACGTGAATGGCAACCGAGCCCGTCACGGTGCCCAGCCCCAGAAACGTGCCCGAGTCACTGGTGGGACAGATGGCACCAAACAGCTGGTCAGACAGATGGACAGCACAGCCCCCCCCCGCCCCCCCCCCCCCTCGCCCTGCCCCCCCCCCCCAGCCCAGCCTGCCCCTCTCCCCCCAGCCCTCGCCCTGACCCCCTACCTGACAGAGAGGCAGGAGACGACCTCGCCCCCGCAGGGCTGGGTGAGCAGCGGCAGGAAGGTTTTTCCATCCCACTTGGTGAGGTAGCAGGGCGGGGGGCGGCGCCCGCGCTTGTGGGGCACCTGCACCGTGTAGAGTCGCAGCGCCTCCGCCTGGTCCGGCACCGCCCCGAACCTGCCACCGGGAGCCCGTCAGCCCAGCCCCCGCCGGCCCCTAGCCACGCGGGGAGCCCGTCAGCCCAGCCCACACCCACACCCACACCGGGAGCCCGTCAGCCCAGCCCAGCCCCCGCCAGCCCCCCTGAGCCCAGCCCCCACCCACGCCGGAAGCCCGTCAGCCCAGCCCAGCCCCCGCCGGCCCCCCTGAGCCCAGCCCCCACCCACGTCGAGAGCCCAGCCCCCGGGTCCCAGCCCCTGCCCCAAGCCCCACCCTTGAGCCCAGCCGAACAGCCAGGCCCCTGTCCCCAGGGATAAGTCGATCTGGCCAGGCATCGCTCCATGCCAGGGCCCTACCTGCAGGCCTGGTAGCGGTAGGTCTTGTCAGGGACGCCCGGCATGTTCTCGTCCCAGCGCAGCCGCAGCACCAGCTGGTCCCTCTGCCACACGCAGCAATGGAAATCCCGGCCCGCCGTCACCACCTGCCGGGACGCAGCCGTGAAAGCCGGGCGGGGGGGCCCCCAGCCAGCCTCAGGAGCGATGGAGACCCAGCCTCAGTTTCCCCAGTCCGTCTGGCCTGCACCAGGCTGCGACTCCCCCTCTCCTGTCTAAGGCACCGTGGCCGCACCCCACCGTGTGCCACCTCCCCGGGCCAGCACTGGCATCCTGAGCCCCCCTCCCCCGGCCACAGGAGCCTTCACTCAGGGACGCCGGCCCCCACCCCACACAACCCCCCTGGCGCGTGGGGGGCAGGCAGCGAGCGCCCTGGGGGGGGGGGGACTCACCCTGGGGTCCGGGGTCGGCTGCTCACCTTGTTCTCGGGACCCAGCGCAATGTCCTCAATCTCCCCGTCATGGGCTTTGAACTCCCGCACCTTCTTCATGCTGGGGAACTGAGAGAGAGCCGGGCTCAGCGACCCCCCAGCTGGGGAACTGAGAGAGAGCCGGGCTCAGCGACCCCCCAGCTGGGGAACAGAGAGAGCCGGGCTCAGCGACCCCCCAGCGCCCTGGGAACTGAGAGAGAGCCGGGCTCAGCGACCCCCCAGCGCCCGGGGAACTGAGAGAGAGCTGGGCTCAGCCGCCAGGCCGAGCCCAACACCCCCCCTCCCCACAACTCTCCTTATGCCCCCAGTCTCCCAGCTCCTCCCCACACATCAGCCTGGCTGCCATTAACACTGCTATGGCCAGGGCGGGCGCAGCCAGCCGGGCTGGTTTAGCCCGAGGACCCGGGATTGCCAGACTGGACCCGGCCGCCTAGGGCCAGGTGCTGCAGAGAGGGAGGCGCCCGCCCTGGTAGCCCTGAGGCAGCAGGGTTAGTTATAACCACACCCGGCAGCCTTATGAGCCACAGAAAAACAGCCAATCCTGTGTGAATCTTGCTAAGCTCGGGGCCCCACTGGCGTCCTGCGGCAGTGAGTTCCACAGGCTAATTAATCATTGGGCTAAAGAGTGTTTCCTTTTATCGGCTTTCAACTGTCCCCCTTTTAGCATCTTTGAACTCTCCTTGGTCTCACGTTATGAGCTGGGAGAAGAGACACGCCCCGTTCTCCCTACTACTGCCCGCCCGCCTGAGCAGGACAGTGACAGTGAAATGCTCAGGGTGATTAGTGAGGCTACAAAAACAGAAAACCCAGTAATAATGGGGGATTTCCATCATCCCCATACTGACTGGGCACATGTCGCCTCAGGACGGGATGCAGAGAGGCCATTTCTAGACACCGTTAATGACGGCTTCTTGGGGCAGCTGGTCCTGGAACCCACAAGGGGAGAGGCAAGTCTTGATTCAGAGCTAAGTGGCTCACAGGGTCTGGTCCAAGAGACGAACATAGGCAAATCGCTCGGGAATAGTGACCATAATGTTAAATTTAACTTCTCTGTAGGGGAGAAATACCAAAGAAACCCACCACAGCAGCATTTAACTTCAACAAGGGGAACTACACAAAAGCCAGGACATTAGCTAAACGCAAATTAAAAGGAACAGTCACAAGAGTGAAATGCCTGCAAGCAGCATGGAAACTATTTAGAAACACAACAACAGAGGCTCAAACTAAAAGGATACCCCAAGTAAAAAAATCAGTCAGAGGACCAAAAACCCACCCCCCTGGCTAAACAACAGAGTAAAGCGGTGGTTAGCGACAGAAAGGCATCCTTTCAAAATAGGAAGTCAAATCCCACTGAGGAAAACAAAGGATAAACTCTGGCCAAGTGAAGTATAATCAAGCAGGCCAAAAAAGAATTTGAAGAGCAACTAGCAAAAGACACAAAAACTAACAGCAAAATTTTTTCTAAGTACATCAGCAGCAGAAATCCTGCCAAAGCGGTCAGTGGGGCCGCTGGACACTGGAGATGCTAAGGATGCACTCAAGGAAGACAAGGCTGTTGCAGAGAAGCTCAATGAATTCTTTGCATTGGCCTTCACTGCAGAGGGAGATTGCCCCACCTGAGCCATTTTCTTTTTAGGTGACAGATCTGAGGGACTGTCCCAGACTGAGGTGTCAGTAGAGGAGGTTTTCGCACAAATCGATCAGTTACACAGTAACAAGTCACCAGGACCAGGTGGTGTCACCCAAGAGTTCTGAAGGAACTCAAATGTGAAACTGCAGAACTCCTAGGGTTCCAGAGGTGATCCCGGCAATTACAGGCCAGTAAGCCTGACTACAGTACCAGGCAAAATGGTTGAAACTATGGTAAAGAAAAGAATTATTACACACACGGATGAATACAATACGCTGGAGAAGAGTCAACATGGTTTTTGTAAAGGGAAATCACGCCTCGCCACTCTACTAGAATTCTTGGAGGGGGTCAAGAAGCATGTGGACAAGGGGGATCCAGTGGCTATAGTGAACTTAGATTTTCAGAAAGCCTAAGCAAAGTAAGGTGCCCCGGGATAAGAGAGAAGGTCCTCTCATGGATTGGTAACTGGTTAAAAGACAGGAAACAAAGGGTAGGAATAAATGGTCAGTTTTCAGAATGGAGAGAGGTAAATAGTGGTGCCCTCCAAGGGTCTGTACTGGGCCCAGTCCTATTCAACATATTCATAAACCATCTGGGAAAAGGGGTAAACAGTGAGGTGCCAAAATTGGCAGATGATACAAAACTGCTCAAGATAGTTAAGTCCCAGGCAGACTGTGAAGAGCTACAAAAGGATCTCTCAACACTGGGTGACTGGGCAATAAAATGGCAGATGAAATTCAAGGTTGATAAATGCAAAGTAACTCACATTGGAAAACAATCACAACGCTATATACAAAAAAGAAAGATCTTGGCGGCATTGTGGATAGTTCTCTGAGAACATCCACTCAATGTGCAGCGGCAGTCAAAAAAGCGAACAGAATGTTTGGCATCATTAAGAAAGGGATCGATAATAAGAAACTATCATATTGCTTTTATATAAATCCCTGGTACGCTCACACCTGGAATTGTGTGTGCAGACGTGGTCGCCCCATCTCACAAAAGATCTATTGGAATTGGAAAAGGTTCAGAAAAGGGCAACAAAAATGATTAGGGGTCTGGAACGGCTTCCGTATGAGGAGGGATTAATAAGACTGGGACTGTTCAGGTTGGCAAAGAGACGACTAAGGGGGGATACGACAGAGAGCCAGAAAATCACACCTGGTGTGGAGAGAGTGACTAGGGAAGTGTTATTTACCCCTTCTCATAACACAAGAACCTGGGGTCACCCAATGCCATTAATAGGCAGCAACAGGAAGCGTTACGGCACTGACCGGCCCCCGCCCACCCAGCGGGAGGCCTGAAGGATCTTGGGCAGGGACCCCCAGCTGACATCACCTCCCACAGGGGAGCAGCTCCACTCCCGCCCAGGCCTGCTCCTACCTCCCAGAGTCGGAGGAACCCGTCGGCGCCGCCCGTGGCCAGCAGCGAATGGTCCACGCTGACACGCACGGCCTTCTGCAGCGCGTCGGGGCTGAAGTCCGTCTGCACGCTGCACAGCGTCTCCACCTCCACCTCGCCTGCCTCGCTCCTCGTGTCACCCTCGCCTTTCTCAGAGGGGCTGGGGGCCTTTCGCTTCCGGGGGCCCTTCTCCGCACCGCCTGGGACAGAAAGAGCAATGACGGCCCACGCCAGCCGGGCGCCTCAGACC